TTTTTGCATTTTTTAAAATTTTTGAATGTCAAAAAATAAAAATTCCTATATGTGGTATAACTCATCATCTACTGATTGTATAAGAACAAATTTTAGCTCATTAGAATCATCTCAATGAGGTGAGTCAAATGACGTTAATATCATATTTCTAGCATAGATAGATCAAGCGATAATTCATGCTAAACATTTTTAGAAAATTATAAACTATCTCTTGATTTATTGATGTTAGAGACATGAATTTACCACTATTCAACTCATCTTAGTAAAATGAATTTAATAAGCTAAAATTTGTCTTTATGTGATCAATAAATGGCATTTAATCACTTGTGTCAGAATTTTAATTTTTAATGTTCAAAAATTTTAAAAAAATATGAAATGTGAATTTTTACCACTCAGTAATTATAAAAAGACGAATTATAGCTCATTAGATTTAACTCACTGAGATGAGTTGAATGGTGATAAATTCATCTCTCTAGCATTAATGAATTGTTTGCTAATGCAAATTGTTTAAAAAACACTTAGGCTGCTTCAATTTAATAGTTTATTTAACGTTCTAACTTTATATAAAAATTGAGGGGGAAGGGGGTCAAATTAAGTAAACATTTAAAAATAAACATAATTTTTTCTTTATTACTCAATGCATTTTTACTAAAAATACATCTTGTGTTATTACAGATAATGCAATTAATAAATTTACATATATTACTTTTATTAATTATTATACCACTACCCTATAAAAAATTTTTATCTGAATATTTCCATTATTTCTCTGGGTCTTCCGTGAAAATTCTGTAAAAATAATACATTCACGGATATCCGTGTTAGCGAGATGAAAATTTCCATGATTTAAGGCTATAAATTCCATGAAAATGATACATTCACGGAAAAAACATGGAAAGATAAAACACGGATCAGATTTTTTATAGGGCTAGGAATATTTTCTCTGGAAGATTCAAATACACTGGAAAGAAATTCTTTTAAATATTATACAGATTGGTGAAGTTATTATAAGTCACGTGATATAACATATGTTTGTTTATTTTTAAAAATTTTTCAAAAACAAGGGGGGTGGAATACGTTAAACAAACTATTAAATTGGAGTGGCCTTATTATGAGTTATTGAGCAATCTATCAAATATCAATATTAGAGATATTAATTTACTACTATTCAATACGTCTTAATGAGATAATTCTAACAAGATGTATTGCATCTTTTTACAATTACTGGTTGTTAATTTAATAATATATATATATATTTTTTAATAAAGTATTAATAAAATGTATTAAAATTTTAATTTTTATATATGTTTTATATATAATCATACTTCTTTATAATTACAGAAAATGGCTTGTCCCAAATATGTGACTATAAAGAGAGTTGATTGTAATTATAAATATATAATAATAATATTATTATTTAAACAATTTAATTTATCATATTGAATTAATTAATAATTAAGTAAAAAAATATTAAAATATTACAAGTAATAATTGTCTGATTATTATTACTGATAATTTTTATCAGATTTAAATTATTATTAAATTAAATAATTATTTATTTATATTAAACAATTATTTTATATGTAAATTTATAAGAAAAAGAAATTTGTCTAAATTCAAAAAGGTTGTTTTTCAGATAATTTTTAAGAAAAATGCAAAATTTTAATTTTTTAATTTTTTAAAGTTTTTTTGATAAAAATTTTTCAAAATTTTATCATAATTAATATTAATCAAATTAATATTTGTTAACATATTGTTATTAAATTAAAATTTTATGATTAGTATTTTTTAACCTTAACTAACATTATAAATTATTATTTTATAACTTTAATTAAATTGTAATTTTTAATTAGAATTAAATAGTGATTATTACTGATGATATTTAATAATCAATTATAAATAAATTAAATTAATAAATAATAATTTATTTATAAATTCTTTAAGATTAATTATTTTTAACCAAAGCTTCAAATTTTCAATTCATTTACATTTTTAGTTCCATTTTCAGTTTTAAATTTGGGTTTTTACTGGATTTTTTTGTTTGAAATTTTTACTAAAAAACATTTTTAGTATTATATTTTAATTGAAAATATTTTTTTTATTAAAAAAAACTTCATTTGAAATATTTTTAGTTTGAAGAGTTTTTCAAAAAATGTTTTTAGTTCTATTTTTAATCTGAAAATAAAACCAGAACTGTTTTCAAACTGAATATAGTTTTAGTAGTTTGTAACTAAAAATATTTTCAGTTAAAAGTTTGACTTATTTTATATTTATCTAAAAAATTTTAAATTCTTTTTATAATTTTTATACCTTATATTAATTTATAAATTAATGTAATTATTATAAAATAACTACTAAATATTCAGTTAAATAATATCTTTAATAATTTATACATAAAATTACTAATTTAAAATATATTAAATATATTAATTTACTGCTATCTTTTTTGTATTAAATATTATATTATTTATTACTTATAAAACATCACTTTACAAATAATAAAAGTGAAAGTTTATAAATTTTATATGAAAAAAAAAATAATTTTTTTATCAATTCATTTTTATAAATATATTATAAAGTATGTAATATATCAATGTAAGGATATGTTTAGGGATGGGGGTTAATTAACCGTTAATTTTGTTAGTTATGATTGATTTAAAATGGTTAATTAACCGTTATTTATAATTAGCCAATCAAAATGCAGAATTTAAATCATGTGATTAAATGATAATCCATTATTTTGTTACACAATTAAATATTAATTAATATAAATATTGATTAAATCTATGATCTACATATTGCATGATCTTTTTTTTAAGATAAATTTTTTTTAAAAAAACACTTTTTTTTTGCAAATTTATTGTTCATTATCATGGTAAAAAAAAAGGGAACTGTTTGGAAACATTGGACAATAATTACTGAAGCAGAAAGTAATGAAGAAAGTAGTAGGACTAAGAAAAAAACACATCCTTCTGTACGTTGTAATTATTGTTCTAAAGTTTTTGAACAAGGTACAGCTAAAAGAATGCAAGTTCATCTTAATGATAGTTGTCCTAGAGCTCCAGAAAGTGCAAAAACAAAGAAACAACAAATTCCTGAACTATTAGAAACTTCTGATGCTACTACTTCTACTTTTATTCCTACAGTAAAAACATCAAAAAAGCATTTAAAAAATACAACAATTGAGAATTTTGTTGATCGTATGAGTGAAGAAGAACAAGATACTCTTGAAATTTTACTAGCTCAAGCATTATTTGCTGCTGGAGTTCCTTTTTCTTTTCTTGAAAATAATTATGTTATTCAGTTTTTTCAACAATTACGTCCAGCATTCAAATTACCTAATCGAAGAAAACTTGCTGATGAATTACTTGATGATGTTTTTGATGAAGTTAAAGCTGAATGTAATGAACAAATTTTACAAGCTAAATCTCTTACAATGGTTTCAGATGGTTGGTCTAATATTAATCGAGAATCAGTTCAAAATTTTGTTATTTGTACTCCAAAACCATTATTCTTTGATGCTATTTATTCTGGTGAAGAATATCATACAGCTAAATGGGTTGCAGATGAAATTATTAAACAAATGGAAATTGTTGGTATTAATAAATTTTAAGCAGTTATTACAGATACAGCTAGTGTAATGAAAGCAGCTTGGAGAATTATTGAAGATAGTTATCCAAGTATTGTTTGTTTAGGATGTAATTCTCATGTAATGAATCTTTTAATTAGTGATATTTTAAAGATTGATCAAATTAAATCTGTTGTTGAAAATGCAAAAAAGTTGGTCAATTATTTTAAGGCACATGTACAGGCAACAGCTAAATTGAAACGTATTCAAAAAGAAAATTATTCTAAAGAAATTGCATTGGTTTTACCAGCACTTACAAGATGGGGAACACATCTTGCTTGTTTTCAATCACTTCAAAATTCAAGAACAGCACTTGAACAGGCTTTAATGGATATAAGAATTCGTCAAAATATGGATTTAACTTTAAGAGCTCATATTTTATCAGATGAGTTTTGGGAAGATTTAGATATAATAACAAAAATTATGGAACCAATGGTTTCAGCATTAAAGTTATTTGAATCAGATATTTCAATTCTTTCAAATGTTTATTCATATTTCAAAGAAGTAATGAATCAAATTAATCAAATAGATTGTAATTTTTCTGATAAACTTCAAGAACTTATTGCAAAGCGATGGGAATATACTTATCATCCTATTATGATAACAGCTTATATGTTAGATCCACAATTTTTGGAAAAAAGTAAAAATGATGAAGTTGAATCTATTGGTTATGTAGAATTTACAACATTTGTAAATAAAAGATTTAATCAGGAAGAAGCAGTAGAATTATTTGCTGAATTGGTAAATTTTCGTAATAAAAATTCACCTTATGATAATGAAATTATTTGGAAATCTGCTAATATTCTTAATTCATCTTTATGGTGGCAATCATGGCCAACTAGTAAACTTCAACAACTGGCTATTAAAATTCTCTCAATTCCTACATCTTCTGCAGCTGCAGAAAGAAATTTTTCTACTTTTGGTTTTATTCATAATAAAATTTGAAATAGATTGAAAAATGAACGTGTTAAAAAATTAGTTTATATTTATGGAAATCTTCGAATGTGTAATAGACTTGTAAAAATACAAAAAAAGAAACAGATTAGTAATTTTAATGAAAATGAAGAAGATAGTAATAATAGTTCTGATAATGAAAATAAAGAAGATGATAATAATAATAGTTCTGATAATGATAGTATATTTGGATTTGAAGCAAATGTTATTAATTTAGAAGATGAAGAATAAATAAAATATATTAAAATTTTATAATATTTAATAAATTATAAATTTATTTTAACTTCCTTAAAATTATATATACAGGTTATTTATGGGTTAATTAACCGTTAACTAACCGTTAATTAACCGGTTAATTAACCAAATTCATAACTAACGGTTATTTTACCAACCCTAGATATGTTTAATGTTTATTAACTAATATATAATGATGAATATGTAATGATAAATGTAATGCATGTGATGTTATAAATACTAAAATATAAAATGAAATTGTAATTTAAAGATTTTAAATTACGGATTACCATACAAAGATCTGTGAATAATTTAACTCTATATGCAAAAGAAATTTTTTATGTTTCTAATAATGAAAATAATTTTCTAGAATTTCATATTTTCATTACTCATAACATTTAATTATATATTTTTAGACTCTAGGAGGTAAAACTACAACAGATGTTGGTTTATACCCAGGAATCATGTAATAACTAATTAGTTCCTCATATAGATCTTCTGAAAGAATCTTCCTGTATGGTCGTACACTGTTAGTAAACTGATCAGAAGAAAATTGGAAAAACCGGATCAACGGAAGTATATCCTTTAGAGTCATAGAAAATGCTTCAACTTCTTTAGGGGACCAAACTTTAGGATCTGGATTTAATGAAGGATGTTTAGCCAATCCCCATTTAAGAACCCTATTCCAAATCTCAAATTCATCTAACTTGAGTTTGTGACTCTTAAGTAATTCTACCAAAACTTCTTCTTTGATTTCACAAAAATCATCTGATAAAAACTTTTCCAACATATTCATGATAACATCGGTGCAAAAATCCACTAAAATCCCATGTTGTTGACTTGTACGATGTACCAATTCAAAGTTTTCATGTAACCACTTATGATGTTGTTTTATTAATTGCGATTCTAAATAGCTAATAACTTCTTCGAAGTCAAGTTTTATTGCTGCAAGAAGGAGATCAAAAATTTCCGAAGGTTCATTATCCAAGGAGATATAACCACTGTAAATATATCTTATTGACATAAAAACGAATTAATAATGAATTAATAAATTAGCAACAAAACTTAATTCAAATAAAATTAAACTCACTTGAGCAAAACCTCAAATGTCTTTGATGAAATACCAGAAACCTCAATCACGTGGAGTATTCCTTTATCCAAGATTTTACGAAAAAAAGTAGAACGTGCATAAAGAATAGATGCATGTGCTTCAAATTTCTGATTATTTGGATATAATCCGACCTCGATGGTCACATCACAAAATTTTTTTTGTTCGTAGAAAGTAGCAAAGTCTTGACAAAGTTTATCACAAAATCGATGTGATATTAATTTCCTAATATTGGATGTAAAAGGTATTTGTTAGCCCCTTGAAATGAAAAGTGTTAATAATATCATTTATATTATGCAACCTTTTAGTTATTTTTTGTCGAACAATATTACTGTATGCCAAATCATTAATTATGGCTATTTTTTCATTTGTCAAAGTACCCAATAATCCTCTAAAAAAAAATTTCAACAAGTGGTAAGTATTAATATTTAATCATATAAGATATAAGGAATTTTACGTACTCAGATAAGACATCCTTAAACTTGAGAACTGTAGATTTGATATCTAAACATTGTTGAATAATAACACTACTTATACTCGATTTTTTTGAGGTAATAGTATTCAATTGTTCTTCGTATGCATTTATCTCGGCCAAAATTTGATTGAATCTCTCACTTTTACTACCATCATCCTCTTCGTAATTGGATATTTCATTCGTCAGACGTATTATTTCACGTTGAACAAGGAAAATTATTAATTTTATTGACATCGGATCACCGGCAGGAATTTGACTTGGTAGTGATTCGAATATGTAATTCTCTTCGCCTTCTTTTAAATCTTTCAAGATTTTGACTTCCTTACCCTCCACACTGGAAGCATCATCGTTGAGAATAAGCACTGCAACACCTTCATCATCAAAATTTGCAGGCTGTGGGGTTTCATCCCCAATTTTAACATACAAAGTTTTATAACTTGATTCCAACAGCTGTAGTGTTGTCTTCATTTTACCTACAATCTCATCAGAAGATCTAATATACAGAAAGTTACCTTCCTTCCTACCATATTTTGTTAACCGTGAAAGAAGCTCTATTAAATAAGAATAATAGTTTAATAAGTGATCACATGAATGATTATAATGTTATACTCAAATATAAATACTTACTTGCATCATGATCTTTTGTGAATCCAATGGAGTGAACTTCGGTAGAATATGAAGTTCCCTTTAAAGCAGTTTCAATCTTTGCATCTTCAAGAATATTACTTGTATCTTGACCATCAGTAAAAAAGATAATGGCCAAATCGGTATTAATTCTATCAAGATTTTTGATGATTGAACTGAAAGCAGCTGAGAAATTTGTACCTAACATTCATATTTCATAAAATATAGAAAATTTTTAAATGAAAATTCATTAAAACATTGATTAAAACTTAATAACGACATAATTACCTCCACCAGGGCGTACATCATCAAAGTATCTTTTTATTCCGCCATTTGCCCAAAGCATATCCGGATGATCACTGAATCTAACCTCTTGACAAGATGACTGAAAAAAGAAACATGTAATATCTTTTTCAGCAAGAACGTTTCTTTCTATTAATCCTCCCATAATCTGTAAAATAGCATCTTTTGCTTGACGTATTGGCGAACCTGACATAGAACCTATGATTACCAAATTAGGTTAATATAAGAAAAATAAAAATCAACAAAAGTCGAGAGAACATAAAAGATAAAGCAAAAAAAAAAAAAGTAAATATGAAGTACCTGAAATATCCAGGCATATGAAGAGTGAAAGAGCACGATGTTCATTATCAAGCACTGCTTGAGGAACATTGAGAGATAATACAGTTTTTCCTTTGGTGTAATTGTAGTATCGAATACTCATATTTAGTGAATTGTTGATGGTAAAGAGATAAAAAATGTATAGCCATTAGGAATGTTCGAATTACTTGGTGTTTTATAAGATTAGCTATTAATTGTTCGTTAATTTGGAAGTCAATTGAATTATCAATTATAGATGTGTAACCGTAATATTTCGCAAATTGTGAAGATCACTACTAATAAGTCAATAAGTCAACATATTATACTTCAAACTGGATAATCCGGAACATGAATTTTTAGACAAAGTTGTTTGTGATGTTTGTGATGACAATATGTATTATGTATCATGTTTTGTAACATGTTTTGTTTCATGCCACGCGATTGAAAAAGTATTTTAAAACGATTTTCAATGCTTTATTTGACATATAAAGAATAAGTAAAACAACGCTCATGGCATTATCGGAAAACGAATCCGAGTTATTTAAATTTTTACTTTTAAATGATTGTTCTTAACTGCTTAAGTACTGTACATACGGTAATACGGTATCTCTCGCAGCTCGCAGGAGTATTTTCCAAAAAGATCATTGTACAATGACTAAAGGATTATTCATCACGTGATATATTGTGCGGACAACATTATATGCATATTTCGGCAAAGTCTTTATCATATCGAATTTAACTGTAATAAACTAGTTTTATGATTGTCCCTAGCTAAAATAGAAAGAAAGTATGTTCATTCCGGGAAATTCAAACTTATTAATGGCCCTGCCGCCCTGGCAGTTAAATTTTGTAAATTTTCAATGAGAAATTTCACATCACTTTGCCGCAATAGACCTTTCTAAAGTTGTGATACGTTCCTGGGAATTACACAATTATTTCATGGAGATTGCTAGAAATCTCTGTAAATTCCCATGAATTAATATTTCATTAAAAATTCTCTTTTTAACATCTGCATCTCTCCATAATGCAGAAAAGTTATATAATATTTAATCAAGAATATAGTGCCATTCATTAATTTATCTCATGAAATTTTCTTTTATCTTAAATATCTTAAACAAAGAAACAAAGAATCAATTAATCAATTGTCTGTTCATATGAAAATTTTTTTCATTTTAGCTGAGGAGGCTGAGAGTAAAAAAGAAAAAGATAAACGTACCAACTTCCAAATTTGATTTGTTTATTAATTCTGATTAAGGTTGTGCATATTGTTAACCCATATTTATGATTTAGAACGAAAATTTTTGTCTCTGTGAAACAAGAGATTCGCCAAGTAATCAAAGTGATTAGGTAAGAAAATCATTCGATTGTATATAAATTATACCTTTTTTCCCTTTGACAAAAGTTAAAAAAAAAAAAATATATATTTCATATCAGTAAAAATGCCACCACGAGTTATTCCTTCGCTATTTTCATCATTAAGATCACTTCGTTCTCCGACACATAAATTAAAAATCTTACGTACACTCAATATTTTAACCTTTTTGACATTTGTCTCTTCAAGTGTTTATTCTATTGTACTTGCTAAACCAAGTAGTATTGATATATGTGATAAATATCCTACTTATTTTACTCCTTCATTAACGTTTATAGGAGTATATTGGTCAATTTTATTTTTCTTACAATTCTGTTTTGTGTCTAGCGTTCAATTTAATGATTTTAATCTCATACAAAGAATAGTTGAAAATTATGTTGATTGGTTGTTTTCTTTTAGCAATTTGTTCATGTGTGGATGGTTATTCTTTTGGGTAAGTTAATTAATTTTACATAAAATTAATAATAATTTACCGCTTATATTTATAATAACTATTAAAATTCTTTATTAAATAGTTGCGCGAAAATTTTATTATCTCGGAATTCTTTATTGTCTTGACTCTACTCTCTACATCATTAGTTCAAAATCTTTTAACATCTAAATACATACCAAATCATCCTCTTATTCCAACTTCCGTTATTTCATTCATTCATATTCCTTTTTCAATGTTTTCGGCCTTTTCTTGTTTTCTTTTATTTCATAATGGATTTATCCTTTTATCTCAACAAGGTTATGAAGATTATGGAAAAAATGTTAATTTGGCTATTATATCAGCTTCACTCTTGACTATATATAGTATTTTTTGGTGTACTACTGGTGTATTCAGTAAAGGAAAAAGAGATCTTACATTTAGTTTTGCCATAGTTTGGTATGTTCCTTAAAATTGAATTTGTCGAAATTTCTTAAACATTTAATTAATTATTTATTTATTTATAAATTAGGATCCTTATCGGAATTGCTGTTCAACAAAAAGAAACAAGTTTATTATCGAATGCTTGTTATTTATTAGCTTTAATTCAAATTATGGTTATTTTCTTTATCTTACTTAAAAATTGTTTAGGACCAAGTAAAACTCGTGCAGAATCAGGAGAATCAGATGAAAGAGCGCCTCTATTTCGACAGCGAATGAATTTTTATGGAGGAATTATCGTTGATAATTGGTATAAAGCTCCAATAAATGATGACCATCCAGGAGAGGTGTAAATGAAGTAATTTAATTATATGATAATTTATTATGAGCTTTTTTTTTCCTCCTTTTTTCTTTTTTATGTAAATTTGCGATAATGCACTGTTTATTGGCGTATGTGTAACATAATAAAAGTTATATTAAGTAATATTTAAAAGATCTTTGGACCAATATTTACTGATCGAAAATATTGTACAAATATATACATAAAAGGAAAAAAATAAATCAATCAAATAGGGGCTATATGCCTATATCGGTCATTATTTGAAAAAACGTGCCTACGTAGTACATTTTCATCCAATCAGTGATTTATTGACCAATTATAGGCATATAGAAATTTTTTTTTGATAATGCACTGTTACGTCCTATGGAAAATTATCTTCTTTTCATAGGAACGATTTTCTCTTTATTCGACCAAAAAAAACAAAGTTTATATGGATCCATCAAGTTCGGACTTTCAGAAATGGGACTAAACCTTATGCTGTTAGAAGAGGAACTATCAAGAATCGAATTTCTTGAATTTTATCATCTGGAGTATTGCTTTCTCCATTCGTATAATAATTTGTTGACGAATCTTAGTGCAATTCTTAACACATTTTTTCCAATCTTTTTTTGTTCAATATCCTGGGTAAAACTGGATATATCAAAAGAATACTTTTAACATTTACTAGATTATATATTATACAACACAGTTACTTCTGACAGCAGATTCTTTGGCCTATGATGACCTGTTGGGCATAATTATATTTTCATTTATAAACATGCAATAATCGCGATAATAAATAATAATAAAGAGAATTAATTATAATTTTGATCAAATTAATATAGCATTCCTTGTATTGTTTGCGATACTGTAGTAATTTTTATATACGCTTGCTCTAGTCTCTCTAGATTGAGAAATATTTCATACTTTTTAGCTCCCGTGCAAAACATTATTGATTGTATTGAATTGGCCTATCAATTTTTACTTTGTCAAATCATGCGTATTTATACTAATCTTCCGATTTCTTTTTAAGTAAACATCGTAGAAAGGAATTTGCCAAGCGATGATGCTTGAAAAAATATTAATATATATATATATATATAGGTTGTAAAATGTAATGTTCACATTTCTTCAAAAATGAAGCACACAAAAAAAAAAGAATATACTCTATGAAACAATAACTGAAAGCAATCTGAAAGCAATGCACATGATACAACTTTTGCATATGATAAGAATCAGATCAGCCAAAATTAGCATTATCTTTAACAGAAATGTGTCATATTTTACCGATAAGGTCCCAATAATTTTTTGGCTACTTCAACATCACTAACTCAACAGTTTCTAGTCAAACGATTTGAAGATGAAAAAGATGATAAAAAAGATGAAAAGGAAACAATTAAGCAGATGCAAAAATCAATAAATGAAATGAGACTAAGAAATGAAAATGTTTAACCTTCGGACATTGTATTTTTTTAAGCGAAAAAGCTCCAAACATTTATTAAATTATACATATATATAAAAAATACTATTACACTTTATATTGTTTCCATGAATTTATTAACACAACGAACTATATATGCTAATCTTGTAGATTAATAAATAAATTTGCAGTGCAGTCAAAGTATTAAAATCACGAATCAGTTCACGTGGAACTAATTATACTGCGGAATCTGTGGACTGTGGCTGACACTTTCATGATAACGACGAAAAAATTCTTGTTTTTCCGATTTTGTAGATCAATTAGTATAAATATAAAAAATATATTTGTAATACGAAAAAAAATCACAATTTTTTGAATTTTTCCAATTTCCTTTCGATTACCGTTTTTTTTAAAAAAAACAATGGAAACAAATGAAAATGTTGTAACAAAAGATTACTCTGCATCCTCAGATCAAAATGAGATAAAAATGAACGTATATGATAATAATAAATTAGTTGAAAAACAAGCAAAAGAATTTGAAGAATTGTGTTTAAATAAGTTTAAAGTAGAAAATGTTTCTTTTGAAATTGAAAAAATCTATAAGAGATATAATGAAAAGATTAATTCTCAATCAAAATTAATTGATGCTTTAAGGGCACGTATTGAAGAATTAGAAATTGATTCTCTTATTAAAAATCAAGAAATTAAAAAAATTCAAGAGGAATTTAATTTCATTAAAAAAGAAATCCAATCAACTCTAGCTGCACCGACGCGAGATAATAAAGAAAATGTTTCTTCAATTAAGGATGAAACCATCAAAGATTTGGGGATATTAGAATCAAATTATAATAGTATTGGTCATTATGAAAAGAAAACTTCATCTAATTGTACTATAGAAAAAGAACAACGAAAATCAAGTACATTTGATATTTATGATATTTATGGAAAAATTCAAAATGAGGATAATTCCCGAGTTGTTGCTTCATCTAATTATAAGCTCCCTCTTATTTCTATGGTAAATATTTTTATCAAAAATAGACAAGTTCATAGCAAAGTTATCGCAACTATTAATAATTTTAAGAGTAAAAATAAAATCATCAATGGTAAAGCCTTTTATCATTTATTTGATGATTTTACTATTAATGATCTTTTAGAGTATGAAAAATCAATCTTATTTTATTCCTTAGATGATGAATCTAGAAGTTGCTTTAAAAATACGCTAATTATCCGTTAATAAGGAATGATTTCATTCTGTAATATTTAATTATGATATTAATATAATAAATATAATTGATTCTCATTTTTTTTAATTTTAATTTCTTCTTTAGATGTTTTATTAATATTAGTAGAGGATTATTGATGCAGTATTTATATTTTTATATAATTATAGGTTCGATAATTTATCCATTACTTTCTCATTTTAACATTACAATTTCTTTTGATTTTTTACCGGTATTATAAAATTTTATTATTCAGTACTATACTGTTCACGATTAGTATTATATAAACTTTTTATTATCTGACCATTTATTATAGTGTGTAAGCGAGTAGGTGTATCAATAGCTGTGGTACCAAAATCCTCATATACCATATTTGGTCATGAGCATATATTTTTTCACAATTAGATCTTTTCCTGTTGCATATATTTTAATTCCATAATATTTGTTCTGTATAATATTAATAGCAAAATCAGTTAACAAATAGAGCACCTTATCATTTGATAAAACATTTAGAACTTCAAGCTAGATTGAATGGGTTAACCACTTAACCTTCTGGGATTTATAGCATATTAATTTTGGTTTTCCGCTGCCAGTAATATTGACTATAAAGCAAATCATCAGTTAGTATTTACATTTCTGCATGCGCTATATGCGCTATGCTGCAAAGTTATTAGGAAATAAAAATGTACATTTTTTTTTATTGTTGTATTTACCTCCCACACATTAAACTATTTCTTTATTAATCTTAGCAAATAACATAAGTGAGATGTTCGTGATATAAATTTTATATCATCTATCTAAACTATTGAAAATGTTCCTTTTGAAGTTTTGCTCAAAACACTTAAATATTACTAATTGCAAAGAAACCAATTTCAAACCATCATCGATAAACTCGTGTATGTATGTTTAAACAGATAAAAGAACATAGATGTGATGGAATCTTATTTATTTACAATTACTTTCTGCTATTTCTACCATGTTGCTATTTCAGGTGTTCATTTTTCATTTTACAACCCATTTTTCTACATTATTGAGGATAGGAGATCTCCGCCTATTTCCTGGATCGTTTTTCGAGTGTTATATATTTGGTGTCTGAAATTCCAATTATCATATAAATCGTTCGGTACAATGAAAATATAGAAAATTCAGTCTTGCGTTATGGTACTCTCCGTACGTTGGTATGTATCCTGATAATTCACTACGTTTAATGGTGGTTTAAGCCACGGTATTCATCTGGCATCTGCCGAAACAAAAAAATTTTTACGGTCGGTTTGACAATTCTTACTGAATTTTCAAACCTATTGCTTATCAGATAAAAATTTATATTTGAGTTTTTTATTAAGGTCAACCTGCCGTATTTGATCCGATTTGAAAAGATATTTTTTAATTTTGATTTTTTTTCTTACTTCCACCCACTAACCTTGAATAGATGAAGTACATGTGACTCGAATAAAATCCCATAGATCTGGGTTCATCAGAACTTTATATTCTTAGAAATAGATTGTTCCACCTCTAATTCTTTTTGGATTTAGTCAATAAGAGTGTCGGTCCATCGATGAATAAGGCGACATATATTGAGAAATACTATATAAGCCTTGATATTTTGACTTCAGAAATGGCGTTTTCAACACTTAAAGATTTTTGTTTAATCGCATCTCGACAAATAAGGACTAGTGGTCGAATAAAATTTGCTGATATCCCAAGAACGTACTGAATCTTGGTGCACTGCCCGTTTCATCAATTAAGTCGTACTGTACATAAAATCTAATGAAGATTGTTTCTTGACAGAATTTCTTTTAAAGTTCTTTTCTTTTAACACTGTTTGATGATGTTGAAACAACTTAATTGCGATATATATATATATATTGAAACGCTTGAGCTTTACCGTCTGCTAAGTATCATGTATCCCGACTTGGAGTTTGATATCCTCAAAACTACTATAATCTGTTTTACTTCAGGATGAAAGCAACATATGAAAATAACCGCTCTTCCCGTTTTTTTATCCTTTTTCCTGATCCTCAATATTATCTTGGAAATATCTGGAAGCTTCTTATTTGATGATCACGTTCAATATATTTGTAAATAATTGGCCTGGAAGAGCAATTTAAAGTCTTAACTTAATAAACCATTGAGTATTTTATTCTAACCTTTTATGGTGAAAACTTACTTCTCAATCTTTGTTTCTTGGCTGTTTGACCTAGATCAACGGAATAAAAGAGAGTGACATAAGTAGCGATAAAAGTTTGGATACTATGAAAAAATGATACAGTATCAAGCAAAGATGCGTTCACTTGTCATCTATCGGTGGCAACGAATTGATCTACGATAACGTGAATGTGTTTTTTTGTTTGACGATATACATTTAATATCATTGGCAAATATAATTGATAAGACGAAAATTTAAGCCATATTATTTTACTTCATACATACCATTTTATAAACTTCCTCAAGTGCCACTGAATATGAGGAATATCTTTGAGGTAATATGTGAATAACTGAACTACTTTGTCTCTTCCTCAATAGTAAAAAGGAATGAACTTCGTGATAGACCTTATCTTCCATAGACAAAAGCTATATTCTTGACCTTGTACGACATCACTTCTTGACCTTCCTATATGTAACATGATAATATGTGTAACATGAGAAGGTTATACGTAGAGGAGTAGAAGTCGAAACCATGCATTGCAATATATAATTTTTCGCATAAAAAAAAAAAAGATTTAGTAAGTCACTAAAGAAAATCTGGAAAATATGAAAATCTAGTGTTACATGGATTGATCTGACAAAATTTCACGTGATTTTTAGCCAGATTAAAATTGTCTCTAATGAAGAAATATTACAAAGTGACAAATATAGTTATGTAAACATAATGTGTAATGTTTAATTTTTTTTGAAGGATTTAAACCCTAATTTGCATTTTTTTAATTAACACTTAATTTAAAAATATTCAAAACTAAAAAAATTATAACAATTTGAAGTAAATCATATAATAAAATAAAAGAAGTATTAATGAAAAAGCAAAATCAATATAAAATTAAAGTAAACTTAATTGCTAAAAAACCAAAAATTCATATTATTAGAAAAATTTTATTTTATATAATTTTTTAGTTGGTATTATTTAAGGTTGCTTGTTAAAATTCTATATTAATTTGGTTCAATATATAAAATTTCAGCCAAATTGATTGTTAAGCAATATGCAAAAATAATCATATATAATTTGCAGAAAATCAACACAACTTGCATATTGCACAAATATTTTTAGATATGTTTTGCATAAAAATTTTACAAAAAACAATATACTTTCTTTACACTTTCCTTTTACTATTAGTTATTTACCACCTTTAAAATATTTTATATTTTTAAATAAAAAATAAGAAAGATGTTTATTTTATATATAGTTATGATAAGAATAATTACCTAATTAGATAATTTTTAGAGGAAATATTTGAATACGATTTGTGAAATTTATGCAAAAATTTAAAATCCAAATTGTGCATTATACAGATTATAATTACATATAATTTTCAAAAATCAAAGTAGGTTACACTTTGCAAATTCTGCAAATAGATTTTGTTTAATATAAATTTAAGTAAAGTTTTTTCAGTTTTATTATTAATAATACAGTCACTACTGATTATAACAGGACCCCACTTACTATTAAGATAGGTTACTCTGTGGCTTAAGGTAAGGTTTACTGTTTACATATAAAACTCTTTAAAGATCTACTATAAAAGGAAATTTTATGTTATATTGTTATGATTTTTTCCTTTTTAGTTAATTAACCAATAGAATTTAAGCAAATCCTAAGGTAAGGTTTCATATGAAAGTAAAATTTCTACCAGTAACATATCTTAGTAGTAGGCGGGATCCTGTTATAACGAACCTTCCATTTTAAGAGTTTTAATTCGGTTAAAGATGTAATATGTAATTATTTTTAGAAGGTTATAAGGTTGCAACTATTACAACATACATACAACACTTTTGTTGTAATTACAACACAATATTATAATTATTATATAGTATTATAATTACTACTAGTATTGTAATTATTATATAGTGTTGTAATTATTTCCAATTATATAAATATGTATTATTATATATTAATTATTTCTTTTATGANTTGTAATTATTTCCAATTATATAAATATGTATTATTATATATTAATTATTTCTTTTATGATGATATTTGTTCTATAAAAACTTATTTTTGTAATTTTTATTTTTAAAAAAGGAAATTTTTGAAAAATAATAAGTGTTGTAATATTACAACACTTTAACTTTAAAAGTAGTAATAGGTTGCAACCCTTACTATTACAACACAAGGTAGTAATTATCAATTACATACTACATCTTTAAATTCAGTATATAATAAATTTGATATATAATATTTGTGTTATATACCAAATAGTTCAGTATATAAATTTTATCCAATAAAATTACAGTTTTATATACAATTATTTATTTATGTACCACAACAATACATACAATTATTATTTAAATTTTGTGTAATAATATTCATTTTAACGAACAATATTATCATATTTGAAAGTAATGAAAATTAACTTGTTTTAAATTTTTTATGATTAATACTTTCACTTGTTTTGCAATTTTCTTAAAATTTTTAACTCTTTATTTATTTTACTGAATTCTGGTTCCTGTTCATATAAAAATCTTATGGTTTTATCTATAGCTATTTCTACTTCTATTGGATTTATTTTTTCCAATATAAGCATAAATTCATTTTTATCTACTACTTGTTCCTCTTTCTTATTTACATTTTATATAGTATCAACTATTTTATGATCAGTAAGTCCACCCTTTAAAATCATATCCTTAATATAAAGATGATATTCATAAGTATTAAAATCATATTTTGAAAACTAAAAAATTAATATTTTAAGTTTATTGATTTCTATATCAAAACTAAGAAAAAAGAACTGATTTTATGAGTTAATTAAAAATATTTAAAAAATCAAATATAAAAAATTTATATCTATTAGAAAATACTGAATCATTATCATCAAAAAATTTTCTAAGTTTATCACTTTGTGAAAGGATATCTGTTTTCTTCTAACAGTTTAAGATAGTTTTAAAAAATACCATAGATCAGACTTTAGCTATATTCTGAAAAGCATCATAAATAGTATAATCTACAAGTTCTTCCATAATACCATCTTGTACATTATTATAAACATTAATCTGATTTTAAAGGAAAAGGCATTTGTAATGGCATTTAAATGAATAAATTATCTCTGCATTACAAGGCTGAAGTTTAGTGGTAGTGTTTAGTGAAAGAAAGATTACATCTATACTATTCAACTTTTCTTGAGTTTTGTCCAAAACAATGTGTACTGGAATATTATCAATTAAAAAAGCAATTTTTTGATTTTTTCTTCTCATTATTTTATTGAGTTTAAGGAGAATATTATTAAAAATACTAACTTACATCTATGCCTTCTTATTCCAAAAATAATAAACTGAAAGATTTTTATGATTAATATTTTTCATAATGTGAAGTATTTTGTATTTTTAATATTATTTTTTCACTTCCAGTTGCATTTATTATACAAAATATTATAACTCAAGATTTTTTTTTTTATGATCTGATAGAGAATTACATGCCAAAACTTTAGAAGATTTCATCTTCTAGAATAAGCCAATTTCATCACCATTCCAAATATTTTTAGAATTATAAGGTATAAAGAGTTGTTGTAAAGTAAGATGATCTTTTTCTATTGATTCAGAAGAGGGTACACTTTTAGTTTTACCTTGCTTTTTAAACTAATGCAAACAATATTATTTTTTAAAGTCATCTAATCAACCTTCTGAATTATGAAAATCTTCTATAGAAAACTATTTAGTGAAATAGTTTGCCTTCATTTTTAAGATATTGCCATCAATATCTTACTTTATATTAAATGCATTATCAACTTAAAGTCCAAATGCATCTTCAAGTTGAAGTCACTTTGGCCTATGAAATTTTTAATATTTTCTTAACTTTTTGCAATTGTAAGCCAATATTCACTTTCTTTTAAAATGTCTATAATTGTTAATTTGCCAATATTATATTTTTGCGCAAATTTAACATTCTGAATGCACAGGTCTTTTTCTTTTATTTTACAAATTTTGCACTTTTAATCAGCAGAAAATTTAACTCTCTTTTTCTTTGTTGACATTATCAGTATTTTAAAAAAATTTATCTGAAACTAACAGAAATAATTTTTCTGATAAATCTATAACAACATGATTAATGATAATGCATTCATATTTTCATATTCTTAATAAAGTCACATGACAGTTCATTATACTAGATATATGACTGATATACATGGGCTGACTAAAATGAATTCAGTTGTGATATATGGTAATTTATTATGTAATTTTGTTACATCTAGTGCAATTAATTATAAAAAATTAGTTCTATGAAATCTGGATCAGTACAAACAGTTTTCAGTACAAATAGGTTCATTATAACCAGTGGTGACTGTATAATTTAGGTATTTAATTAATTAGTTTTGCTAATTTTTTAATAAAAATTTACTAGGTTTTGCCTTTTTAATGTTATATTAATTTGCTAAAACTTCTAGTTTTTCTAATAATTTTAGTATTATTATTATTTTTATTAAATCAGTATACTTAATAAAAAATAGCTATTTAAATATTACTATTTGTAAAACTAGCATTTATTAAGCAAAATAAAATTAATTACAAATAAATCAAAATATTTAAACAAAAAAAAGACAAACTAATTTTTACAAAATATTATTGTAATATATTATTATATACTTATTATATAGATTCTCATGAATTATGATCATACTATTAAATCATTCTTAAATTTTCAACCTTTTTCATGCGTTCCGCCTAATTAAATTTACGAGATTTTTACTGGCTAAATTTTGGTAGTACAAAACTGACTGAAAATATGACTGACCAGAATTGGACAGGGCTAATATTTAAGTTTAGCTTTAACGGGCATCCAGACGCGTCCTTATCTTACGGGGGTGTACAATCTTAAAGTACATCTGGTGGGCCGAGTTTAAGAGTTATGCACGTGCACGTGTGTTAATTCCGGCCAGTTCAATTTTTTTATTTTTATGTTTAGAAAAACCAGATTGTAGTAAAAATTACAAGGATAACATATACATGAATCGAAAGCAATTCTATCACTAACAACCAAGCCACTCATAGGTGACGATTTCTAGCCTTTAAAAAAAAGAGAGGAACGGGTCAAATCCAAGATCGTTCCCAGAACCAATCAGTTCCAGCTTTAACGACACGTCAAAACTATTGAATCACGTGATAATAACATCCAATTTTGTATATATGTATCAGTATTATTATTTTTTTCTTTTTTAGTTCGGAAGAGAGTTCACCTCTCTCCCGCTCATTTACATTTTTTTCTTTTATCAAGGTGACAACACCCTATCTTAAGGGTCAGACGTGTTTTGGTTTCCTGTTATGTAAATTGCTTTCGGCCTTAGTATGTAGAGTTTGGGTAATTTGTACTGTAACTCGGTACATTTTGTGATTAAAATAAAAAATAATTTTAAAAAAAGTTCACTTTTATTCTTTTTATAAACGTTATCAAGAGTAAAAAAGAAATAAATGGAGAACACGGAATTGCCTACCAATGGACTTGTCAAATTTACAGGAAATAACATTAAACGCGAAATTTCATGGCAAGGAAAACAATAAAGCTTATAACTTAAGAGCGTATGGATAAACCCAAAATTGAATCCGGATTTGAGTGTTCTGCAAGACGCGTTGCTCTAACGCCAAAAACTGTTGTTAACGTTACTGTAAAGTCTGTTGGGGAAAATTCAATTCCAAAAAAAAATGAACCAGATATCAACAGAAGTCAATTGTCAGAAAAGTCTCGAGTTCTATTAAACACGGCCAAAATTCCGAATTATGAAGTCGCTGGCAAATCAAAATCGCCCATCCGAAGCCCAAAATCTTTATCTTGGCAATAATATATTTTCTGGCTTCATAACTCGATGAATGACTTTTTTCTTTTGAAGATAGACAAGAGCATCTGCTATCTGAGATATATAACTTGCTGCTTTATGTTCTGTAAAAGGTCCGATGCTTATACAATTCTCCATTTTCGGCATATTCCAACACCAAAAATAACACTCTGGGCTCTATTCTTTTTGAAGCGTTACTAAAAATTTGTGGTTTCGCATACCGGACGCAAGCCAGAGACGTATGACACTCTGTAGTACGCCTGATTACTGGCACCTGAAATGATCAAAGACACAGGTTATGACCAATAGATAGATTCGTGGCACTTGGAGTGTTGTGTTATGAATTCTTGGTTGGGGAGCCTCCTTTTATGGTTCAAGGTAGATTATAAAATACCAAATCAAATCTCTTCGGAAGCTAAAAATCTCATTTCGTCTTTATTACAGTCCGATCCTGAGAAACGTTTGCCCCTCGATCATGTTACAACACACCCATGGATTTTGAAGAATAAGTAATCAGTTTATGGAATATGAAAGAATTTGTAACGTTTTTAGATCTTAAGAATCGTGTAAATATTATGAAATTTTGTTTTATAAGGTTATGTTAGTATAGCATTTCCATTAACTATATTGATAAACAAGAATAAATTATGGTTGAATAAGGAAAAAATAATTATAAAAATAAACAATTTTATCATGAGTATTACTGTTTATGATTTAACGATTATGCGGCTTAGTAATAATAAAATATTTAGTGTTCGCAGGGCAGGGCTAGGTTCAGAATTGGAATCAAATATAAATCTTCCAGGTGCTGGCTCTAGCCGCATTTTAAGTAATCTCACCTCTTGGCTATCCTTTGTTGCAACCATTCCGCATTTCGATCTTGATGCAGAACTTCTTCAGTTCCCTTATCTACAAATGCAAAAATTAAAAAAAAAGATCATATCAGTAAATTTTTTAGTATGTGGATCACTAAAATTTACATAAAGCTACTTGTGTATCTTTGTGTATTATATTAATATACATAAAGTAGTTGTTTTATAGTTTTATTTATATTTGCTGTTAGTGTATTAATATATTCAATATTTCAATCGCCGTACAGTATCATGATAATCATGATAGGCGTGCACACACATCATCTCATCCACATGAAATACGATGTCAGTCATCAGAGTCGCGACTCGCGACTATATATATACTCTCACATATATATATCATCAGTTTTTTCTAAAAAAAAAAAATACTTTCATACTCTAAAAAATAAAACCACTCATACTCTCTAAAAAATAAAACCGGTATTTTTAAAATAAAACTGATAGCCAGAGCAAAGTCAACAAGAAGCTTTTACAATTGCACTCACAAAAGAATCGAATGATATAGGCAAAAACACGTCAAAGGTTAATGTGGAGAATAAGTAACAATAGAAACGAAAATTCGGGTTAGAAAAAAATAAAGATTCAGAAGATAATAAAATTGATATGAATTCAATTAATGACATGGCCTCTTCAACTGGCGAAACTAAGGAAGACGAAAATCCAGAAGAAAAATAATAAAAAAAAATAAAAACTTGGTCGAAAATAAAAGTGATACGACTTTGTTAATGGCACAAACGATCCCTCTTCAACCAGTGAAATTGTGAATATGAAGGAAGACGAGAATCCCAGGATGGACTCGATAACGCAGACGCGGATGCAGAAGAAATTGCTGCACGCCGCGCAACAGAATATATCGACGATGAAGCAGATGACTTGGAAGTAAACTTCACGTACATTGTTCGCGTCTACTTGTCTAGCTTTTTAATCGATAAATCTGGTTATGTTCAAATGGACCAATTTCGCGAAGACCTCAGGTTGTGTTATCATTTTTAAATTATTTACATAACCATAAGGTATGTCCGGAGTATGAAGAAGATATGCAAACGGCTTTGCAAATCGCTCACAAAGCAAAAGAAGAATTACCAAATTGCAAAGCGCTCGCACAGAATGCGCCAGGAAAACTCAACAAGGCGTATTCTTTATTATTCAGAGTTATTTGGCGCCAATGCAGTCGAAGAGTTTACCCGAGTTAAAGAAGATTCTAGAACCGCTTTGACATGTGAAATTATTGGAGTTGAACCTTTTCAAAAGGATATATCGGAGGTTTCCGCAGATGAAACCTTTCAAAATTCTAATGAATTACACAACACGCAAGAAACTGATCTTTACGTGAATTCGATGTGTCTACTACGGAACCTTTTTATATATGTGTAAATTCAGATTTAGGAATTTATGCTATGCCCGGAATGCGTATCACTGCCGATTTTCATAAGTTATCTAATGGATTTTGGTATTGGGATTATTATCAACCTTGTGATGATTCCGATGATGATGATTAAATTAAATTTTAGATTTTGCATTATGGTAAAAATTCTTTTTTTTGTTTTTTTTTTGTATTATTTTATGTAAATTCTTTTTTGACTCATGATCGGACGATTCTACAATATTCATTTCTAAGGAGTTTTGAAAAGACCGTTCTGAAGAAGCCTAACAAACAAAGACGTCGCGTACGCCTACTAAGAAAGGGACGAAGTGACGTCTGTGATCAAAATTTTTGACGATATTTCCAGCAAAGCTAATAGTAAATATTTATTAATTTATTATTTTTTATACTTGAATCTTTATTACAAATATTAAA